TTGACAGCCAGCGTACTGTAGTGTAGAAGAGCAGAACCTCGTGATCTATATTAATGTTTTTGCTCAGTTCTTTGAAGGCTCCAGATTTTATATAATTTACGACTTATACTAGCAATGGACTCTTGATGTCGATTGGTTAGGGCAGTGGTTAGGGAGCTAAATCTTTTCTGTTTTCTAAAAGCCCGATTTTGAGCTAAACATAGATGCCGCACCATCCGTACAAACCCCAAAGCCGTTCTAACCCATTTTAATCATCCCGTTTAAAAAAAAAACGTATTCATTTTCTCCATGCTATCTCCACAAAATAGCAACTCTTCTTTGCTATCATCCGCATGAATATAGACACAAACCAGCAACTGCCAACATGAACTCACGTCTGTTGATTTATCAACTTGAAAAGCAAACAATGGTGAAAGCTTAATTTCAAATAAAAATGTATTATTTAACCTTTACGTACATGCAGCGTTTGATGAGATTTTCTCCTATTGTTTTTTTTAGCGCAATTTCCATTTCTGGGAATGGATGGATGAATGAATGTATGGATGAATGTGTGTCCGGGCTTTAAGTCGTATCTCCTCCTCAACGAAGCAATATCGATGACTAGTTCCAAAAGCAATTATGTTAAGCAAGTTACGAGAATGAGCATAGGCCATAAAAATTCCGGGTTTCTTTCATGTATTTCCCGGAAAAGCCAAAAAACCTCGAAAAAATGCCGTTTTTGGCCCATATCTCGGCAACCAGACCACTTAGCGACTTGAAACATGTACCAATCGATTCCTGCCATAATTTAGAACAATATTGCCGAAGAAAGTTTTCAAAAATATCCTCTCGTTCGGTCACAAATTTTAAAATTACATAAACACCTACAAACCGATCGTTCTTCTAGTTTGAACGCACCCCAGCATTATACGTCAGAGCTATTTTTAGATAACATAAGGAAATTGCGCATAAATGTCACTAGACTTTTTTAATTAACTTGTTTTTTTTTGCTTGGCATTTTCTATCGCGACTTCATTTGATGCTTGCACTAATGCTGGTGAAAACTTCCTGTTCGATCAAGTCTCTGGCGTTTGCAACTAGCTTCTTACCGACGAAAGAACTCCATGTATTTTTTGTGTGTTCCGAATGATTCGTCTCAAATGACGTTTTAGTTTTGAAGATTTCATAGATGCGTGACTGAGAACAACTTTGTACAGTGCGCTTTGTTTCTTCTCTATTATGTTTCCAGTGATGTTAATGAAGCCGAATTTAAAAAATTCTTTAAAATATTTATGTTTTGTTTCAAATTACTAAGGTTTAGTATACTAGTTGGCGACCCCCCAGAAAGACCTTCGCGACCCCCAGGGGGGTCGCGACCCCCAGGTTGGGAACCCGTGGTATAGCGAGACGTGTCTCACATCATCCCTGTATCTCCGTTATCTTGTTTCACCAACGTACGTCACGATGTCAGTTCTATCTCTAACGAACCGGAACCACACTTTTATCAGAGTCACTGGTTTATGGTGTTAATTACTTGTCCTGTTCAGCCGTCTGTTCTATTTATAAATGTCCGGCAAGTATCGATATCAAGGATAGACAGGCCCCGTCTGTAAAGAGTGAATGGGATGGTTTTCATGATGTCTTGTGGACTAGCGGTGGTGTTCATCGAGTACCTGAGTTAACCCAGCACTATTAGGTACTAGGCAATTGTCCGTAATACGCACGGGTTTATCCGGCTCTTTTCGGTACCCAGCTAATGTCTGTAATACGCCCCTGAGTAACCAGCTGTATTGGGTACCAAGCATAAGTCTTTAGGACGAACTTGATTTGGTCCAGCGCTGAATCAATGTAAATTTGTCTGGCATACCTGAGTTTACCCAGCCATAAAGCGTACCTGGCAAAAGTTAAGTAAAGGGGGAGGGGGTGGGGGACTAAAATAGTCGGATATTTCACGAACTAAACAAACTCTGAATATATTTTGTCTTAAGATCCACACCAATTGCTAGAAATAATTAAAACACTTTTCTTATCAAGTTTCAAACATAAACGGATATGTTAAGGGTTAACATGGCAAAAAAAAGTAATTTTAAGAATGTAATAATTTGACGGGATAAAAAAAAAATCGGCTACACTTTGTTCGGTCTGTTGAACAGGTGTCAGAAATGTAATTTATGGCTTCATCCGGTAAATGGATACCTGAAGAGCAGACACGAGGAGTGTCGATTGCGGTTATCTGCCCTTGGGTTGCCCCGACGTGGTTGCGGTCCTTGTTTGTGCTGTTGACGATTTGACGTCACAGGCGGGTAAGAGGGGACATAATTGCATGGCTGTTGCTAAAAATAGAAAACTTTTTCATTTTTTTATGTTTTAAAAATTTTGTTTGTCTTTTTCGTTCCCATTATTGAGCGCTTCTTGGTAACTGGAGCGTTAGGAGCGCTCTTGACCCACTGCTCAAGTCGCGGGGCTCATTTCTTTAAATAGTTTTCTAGTCAGACCTGTTTGTCTTGTGAACCCAATAAATAAATTGATGTTTTTGGGTACATTCATACAAGATAAGTAAAGTAAAGGCCGTGGTGGGGATTAAATTGGGAGGGCACATTACTTTAAGTACAGGACTTAATTTTATTATTTAGGTTTTTGGTTATATCTTTGGAAGGGCTATTATTAACGGTTTTTCCAAGCATTGAGATTTAGGATGGTACGAATAATTCTAAGTTCTTCTAGCTTTTCTAATATTTTATGAATATTTTATGAAGCAATATTCCGAGTAGTTTTCTAAATGTTGTTTTGACATGTAGTTAACAATAAAGTTTGCGGTTATTTTATGTGCGTAGTTATATTGTGATATTATGTAGCGAGCTGATACTTTGTTAAATGTTTACACGTAGTCATGGTAACTCGAGACATGAAGTATGAGACTTAGGGTGTGCCCTTAATCAGAGGCGTAGCGAAGGGGGGGGGGGCGGGGGTGCGGACCGCACCGGGTGACACCAAGGCAAAAAAAAATAGCAAAATATATAGAGACAAATTTGAGGGGGGGGGGGTGCAAATCGAAAGTTTGAGGGGGGGGTGGAGGGGAGGGGTGCAAATCGATATTTGAAAGTTTGTCCCTGGGAAGGGTCACTACGCCTCTGGGGGGTGACACCATTTAAGTCAGCACCGGGTGACACCCGACCTCGCTACGCCACTGCCCTTAATAGAGGCAATGACTTTTTTTTTTACTTTCTAAAACATCATTTACAAAATTTAATGACTTTTGAATGAATCTCGGAGGAAAACGAAAACAACATTTAAATTCCTGAGCACCTAAGATTTAGTTTCACACAGTTCTACCCGCCCCCACCTCGCATCCCCAACTGCTCTCAAATACACACCCTGATTGCCCCGCCCCCACCCTTTTAAAGTACACATCCTCATCTAGTTACCCTCAACCACCTTATCCTACTCTCCACACCCTCATCTACACCCCTCTACAAATACACTCCTAGCAACACATCCTCGTGTTCTAACCCAATTCACACCCTACCAAACCCAGTTACCTACCATTAATTACCAATGCCCAGCCACGCCCTAACCATACACCCCTAACTACCCACTGCCAACCATCCACGCCAATACACACCCTCCGTATGTTAACAGTATGTCATGCATATCTTATGTTAAAATGTACCAAACTATAAGTTAAAAGTTTAAAAAATGGCACATTTGTTTAACATCGACTATAGGACTATCTTTGCTTCAAGGCGAAACACCAACAAAGGGAGGTAATAATGTATGAACCTTATCAAACATAAATTACTTGGTAGTCTTTCCTGAATAGTGTTGACTTGCCTCACTAGTTTGTTATTAGCTGTCATTAAACACTTCAAAAATATTATTTAGTTTAAACCTTAATTAAAGCTTGTGATTAAATTAAGTAGTCATAAAGCGGACAGTAACCTACTCTACATAAAGAACTCTACAAGCCTCATATAATGTTTACAAAGAGCTAAATCATTAAAATGTCCATGCTTTATTCATGGTGAGAGATCAGTGAATTATTTAATCTTTGTGTCGTGTTAAACAGCAATGCATCATTTTATCAGATGAGGTTTTAATTTGTCTTCAGAACCTCAGAAAATCATACCGTTTTGTGTTGTTTTCGCTGTCAATTTGCTAATTTTGCTAAAGACAACTTATTGTATGGTATTTATATTTTTTGTTGTTGTTTTTTTCTTTGTGTCTAGGACTACTGCATAGATTGTTGAATATGTATTTGTAGTATAATTAAAAGCTCATTGAATAAAAAAAACACATTACAATTATGCCAAATTTTAGATTCGCGTTTTAAGTATCTTTGGAAATGTATGTTTAGACCTTTTTTGTATTAATAATTATAATAATAACTATAATCATAATTACATAATTTTGTCATATATTACTATGTCAAAATAATGTAATAAATTTTTATAATTTTAATTGTATTTAATAACCAGATTTCACATAAACGGGTTTAACGGAAATGTCTGTGTAAGACATTGTTGGCCGAAGCGCCCAAACAGTATCTTGAAAATTGGAAAAAATGGTTTCTTTATAGAAGTAAGTTTTTAAGTGGACGTAAGTTGAAAACTCACGTTTTGATTAAATGACTTTAGAAGGATAAAATTGAAAATGTGTGATTTGTAGATTTTTATCTAAGTAAGCTCAATGTGTAAAATAGCCGAATATTGTGGGGTGCTAAAAAAAAAATCATGGTCTGTATCAATTGATCGCATCAATAGATGCTGCATTGTTGTCAAATAGTGTTGAGCAAGCTGAAGGCGTAGTCGAATATATCAATTTTATAAACTACGGAGAATTTTATTTAAGGTCAAGTTGACAAAATACAGAGAAGTTTACATTTATACAGAGATGTAACCCTTGGAATAAGATATGAAAAAGTTTACATTCAGAAAAAGGTGTAACACATTGAAATAAGATATGAAAAAGTTTCCATTTACACAAAAGTGTAACACATTACAATAAGATATAAAAAAGTTTACCTCATCCACCCCGGCAAGTTCTGGATTTGTTCCGGGGTCTCCCCTATGGACGAGTCTATGGAGATGATGCTGTGCCGCACATGCCGTGCGCCGTGGTGCTCCAGCTCGTGCTCCTTGCCGTGCCAGGACAGGGAATTCCCGTTCGGGTTGGTGCTGATTTTACCGTTGACGGCGGGCGGGGCGCCCTTCAGGATCCCGCCTCGGGACGGAGAGGTGGGGGTGCCCGGTGATACAGGAGCCTCTCCGTTTTTGACGCCCCCGTTTAGTCCAGTGTTGACCGTTAGGTGACTGCTCATTGTAGTACACACGAATTGCGCCCCGAATTAATTCTTACAAACACAAAACGACTAGTAAAGGCAACCACAATATTCAAAAGTTTAATCTATTAAAAAGAACTATTCTTCATCATAAATGCTTTAAAAATAAATCGTTAATTTCGAAACTTTGACGAATATTTTTCTAAAATTTAATTTCTTCCTTTGACATCGAAATCAAATAGTGAAAATAAACTATCTTAAACTACAGTAGTGTTATGTAATCCTAAACTCGATTATTTAACTGAAACGAAAAAAAATGTTGAGGTTTTATACTGCTGTTGAGCGTCACCATAAAGTCTACCGTCAACCATCGATGACGCAGTCAGGCAATATGGTGTGGAGAAAAAAATTATATATGGCGCCTGCTCTGTGACAGTGGGGACCATAAAAAAGTGCTTACAGTAAATGAGGCAGTGGTTTTCGATAAGGGGAAACAATTTTCTTAATTACTGTAAGTCATAAATTATTGTATTATTTGAGACGGGTTATTTGTTTACCAGTCTAAAACAAGGTTGTTTATTTCATAAAACTACAGCTAGTAATAGAATGATGGGTCTGATTTCATTGAAAAGATATCTAAATGTAGATATTTACTGTTATTGTTGGTATATTAATGTTCGTAAACAAAGAAAAGTTGAGGGGTGTGTTTTGGGGTGTGTTTTACAAGGTTTTCGGAGGTGTTGGTGTATTTCAACGAGATTTCCGTCATTGTTACGTCAGATTTCAACCATTTGGAATCTAGACAGGCATAGGCATTTGGAGATTGCTAACAAAGAAACTGCTCGTAGATAATTGGGTAATGGGCTGTATATATATACAAATATATTCACATACATATATAAATCCATATATATACATATTTATGCATATATATTATATATATATGTATATATATGTACACACACACACACACGATCGTCTTAGTGGAAGGGTGTATATGACCTGTGTGACTCAGTTTGCAGAGTGATTTCCCGAGACGTCCATATGGATGATATTTATAAGCAGAATCGATGAGACCAGTACCAGAATAAATTTAAAAAAAAACTCGTATGCATCTTAATTGTCACCTGTATTGTCTAGATGTGTAATGACGTAATGATTGCCTATGGTTGTGATATCCTCACCAGTGGCGTCGCGTGGTCGTGTTTTCCCCGGTGTGGCACCTCATGGTGTCACCCCCGCCCTCTTTTTTTTTCTGTAAATTTTGTAGTGTGTGTCTACCCCCCCCCCCCCTCGCAAAAGCTTTAAAGAGTTTACATTTAATACTAATGATATTCATCTTTAGTTGGTTGTTAATACAGCTGGGTGTAGCATTGTTTTCTATATAGTTTGCATGTTTACGTCATATCATCCCCCCCACCCACTCCTTGTCGGGATCGTCATTATGTTCGTAAAATACTTTTTAACTCTAATTAACCATCCATTAAACTGGCAAAAAACACATTTATTCTATATATATATTGCGATTTTTTTGTCTTGGTGTCACCCCCCTAAATGGTGTCACCCGGTGCGGTCCGCACCCCCCGCCCCCGCCTCGCGACGCCTCTGATCCTCACATGTTAGTGGTATTCTCACATGGTAGTGAATCAAGGGGTTCAACCCTTTCACAGCCCCAACATAGATATATAGACATAGTTATAAGCCCTGAATAAATACACTCAATGTCTAAAGTTCAATATTAAACGTTTGCGTAAGTCTAGATCCATAAATCTTAGTTGACCCGCGGGGTTAAAGATCACCACTTTGTTGTATATCAAATAAGTTTTGACAGTTCAAAGGTCATATAACCGAGGGAGGTAAGAAATCGGCGGCCATAGGGCAGTGTCACTGACACTACAAGTCCCTAATAATGACATGCTGTCATAAATCTCGGAACAAAAATTTCATCAAAGCGAATCTGTAAATTTTAAAGTTTTAATTATTCGAGTATTTTTATCACTAAAGGTTGTATATTATTAAAATATTTTAGCATGTCGTAAGTTCTAAATCCTTTAACGTTTATAGATCAAAAGAAACCGTTACTTTTTATGTCGTGGGCTATAGGGCTCAATATGTTAGACTTTGGTGCTCTTTAATCTGCAATGGACACATTCCTTTTCTCAAGACACATTATCCTTACACAGTCTTCAAAATCAGCCTATAAAAAGTTGTTAGACCCATATTTTAGACCCAGTCTCTATACCCAGTCTTCTGACCCAAATTTTAGACTCAGTCTATAAAAGAAGTTTTTAAACCCCAGATTTTAAACCCACTCTCTAGACAGAGCCTCCATATAGTATCTAGCCCAGTCATCTGACCCAGTCTACGGACCCAGTCTTTAAAACCAGTTGTTATCAAGTCTCTAGACCAAATCTCTAGACCTAACCTCTAGACCAAATCTCTAGACCTAGCCTCTAGACCAAATCTCTAGACCTAGCCTCTAGACCAAATCTCTAGACCTAGCCTCTAGACCAAATCTCTAGACCAGGCCTCTAGACCAAATCTCTAGACCAGGCCTCTAGACCAAATCTCTAGACCTAGCCTCTAGACCAAATCTCTAGACCTAACCTCTAGACCAAATCTCTAGACCTAACCTCTAGACCAAATCTCTACACCTAGCCTCTAGACCAAATCTCTGGACCTAGCCTCTAGACCAAATCTCTAGACCAAATCTCTAGACCCAGCCTCTAGACCAAATCTCTAGACCAAATCTCTAGACCAGGCCTCTAGACCAAATCTCTAGACCTAGCCTCTAGACCAAATCTCTAGACCTAACCTCTAGACCAAATCTCTAGACCTAACCTCTAGACCAAATCTCTACACCTAGCCTCTAGACCAAATCTCTGGACCTAGCCTCTAGACCAAATCTCTAGACCAAATCTCTAGACCCAGCCTCTAGACCCAGCCTCTACACCCAGTATTTAGATCCCGTGTTTAGATCTAGTACAGACATAGAACCGATCTCTAGACCCAGCCTCTAGACCCAGCCTCTAGACCCAGCCTCTAGACCTAGCCTCTAGACCAAATCTCTAGATCTAGCCTCTAGACCAAATCTCTAGACCCAGCCTCTAGACCCAGCCTCTAGACCCAGACTCTAGACCCAGCCTCTAGACCTAGCCTCTAGACCAAATCTCTAGATCTAGCCTCTAGACCAAATCTCTAGATCTAGCCTCTAGACCAAATCTCTAGACCCAGCCTCTAGACCCAGCCTCTAGACCCAGACTCTAGACCCAGCCTCTAGACCTAGCCTCTAGACCAAATCTCTAGATCTAGCCTCTAGACCAAATCTCTAGACCCAGCCTCTAGACCCAGCCTCTAGACCCAGCCTCTAGACCAAATCTCTAGACCTAGCTTCTAGACAAAATCTCTAGACTAAGCCTCTAGAACAAGCCTCTAGACCCAGCCTCTAGACCCAGCCTCTAGACCAAATCTCTAGACCTAGCATCTAGACCCAGCCTCTAGACCCAGCCTCTACACCCAGCCTCTAGATCCCGTGTTTAGATCTAGTACAGACATAGAACCGATATCTAGAACCAGGCTCTAGACCCAGTCTCGAGACTCAGGTAAGACAAAAACCATCTCACATTCCAGACTGTGGGGAAAAATCGGCTAGCATTCACACCTGGTTTCTGCTGGAACCCTACGTCATAGGTGAGCCAAGGTGGAACTGTTCAGGTAAACTTCTCCACCTTAACTTCCACCTACATTAAGAAAGATTGTTTTTCTACTTCCCACCTCTACTACCTATTACCTTCACCGGCCTAGTTTTCTTACTTAAATTTACGACCTGGTCAGACTTACATAATAATTAGACCAAGCACAAACATGATAGGTTTAAGTTTATTAAGTTTACAATCAGTGGTGTGTTTCTAGTGTAAGTCAACTTCGTACCTTGGTCCCACATGTAGCGAGATCGGCACGACCGTTTTAGAGGTGACTTTGTATCTAAATCAGACCCGAATCACACAATGGCTGCCCCTCCTCAGAGCTTGGGGAGATGGTAGAGGGGGGGGGGGGGGTGCTGCATAACTTCGGGGCTGGGGGAGATGGTGAGAGGGTGCTGCATAACCTCAGGGCTGGGGGAGATGGTAGGGGAGGGGGTACTGGACCTATTCAGGGATGGGGGGATGTTAGGGAAGGGGGTGCTGGGGAAGGGTGCTGCATAACCTAAGAGCAGGGGGAGATGGTAGGGAAGGGGGTACTGGACCTATTCAGGGATGGGGGGAGATGGTAGGGAAGGGGGTACTGGACCTACTCAGGGATGGGGGGAGATGGTAGGGAAGGGGGTGCTGGACCTACTCAGGGATGAGGGGAGATGGTAGGGAAGGGGGTGCTGGACCTACTCAGGGATGAGGGGAGATGGTAGGGAAGGGGGTGCTGGACCTACTCAGGGATGAGGGGAGATGGTAGGGAAGGGGGTGCTGGACCTACTCAGGGATGGGGGAGGGATTACTACTCGACTAGAGGAGTTTTACTGAGGGGAGTGCTGTTCCTCCTAAAACAAAGAAGTGGGAAGGGGTTAGGAGGGTGGATTGCTTACCTGAGGATTAAAATAATGACCTGGTAGCGATAGCAGGCGATGGGATACGATTGGTGGCTGTAAATTAAATTAGACCGTTTTCAAACAGTTATAAACAGATTGTAAATTTAGAAAGGCTGGCAAGCAATAAAAACAAAAACTGACGGTAAGAACGGGCATTAAAATGTCTCCACATACTAATCAAGGCAAGTGGTCTATTTGTTTGCTGATTACTTATTAATTAAATACTATTTCTACTCGATTTTAAAGTAATCGCTTTGAGTTTTACTAAATCTTGGTAATTGCTTCTCCTCCCCCCCCCCTCCTAGCCCCCCCCCCCCCCTGCCCTCCGATAACAGATCTTACCCGAGCTATACGGGGAAGTAGTTGAAGAGTATTTGGCCGCACGAATATATCAGCTATCAAACATGGTGTGAATACCGTTGCTCCTGGGAACCTACATCAGTCTGTGATCTAAAACTGTGTTGAACAGAAGCTGATCTGTTGGCTCGAAAGGTTGGCAGATTGTGGTCTCAATGAGCAGTCCTGTCAAGTCAGACGTGTGCAGCGTGTGATGGGTGGGCGTGTGTTACGTGCTACGTTGTTGAGACCACAAACAACATAGTCCTAAACTTCCGAAGGATGTTTTAAGAAGGTGGTGTCGTAAGGAAATGGTGTCCTAAAAGAAATAGTGTCTTTTAAGAATTGGTGTCTCAAAGGAACTG